AACTTTTGGTCGAAACACGTTCGGGAACCGCGTCAGGTTCCAACAAAAGGGTTTCTTCGGAGGACAGCTTTCTCGGAAAGAAGGGGTCGTTAAACCGCAGGATCGTAAATGTTTAACCTTTCGACCAGCGAGGTCTCGCGGTTCGTCTGCGTCTTTTGTGGAACGTTCACCTCCATTATGCATAACGCGGTACATTCCCTCCCCGTCGACGATCCGGTTTCGGATGCCTCTTTCGTGCCGATCGACGGATTCTACCCAGACCAAGTACCAGTCGTTTGGCCGATCGTTCCGACGAGTAGCCGTATGGCTTAACGACGTCGAAGAAATCTCTCCTTATCTCCTCTCGAAAATTCGATTTCGAGCCAGGGACCAATTAGAGATTCGTAGATGGTTCGAAAGGGGCCGGTTGGCCAGAAGAGAACGCGTTACGAGGAGAAGCTCAGGGTGCCGCGAACACGAGGATTTCGTGGTAACCATGAACGGCGTAAATCAAACGAAGGCTGCACTTGACTAGAAACACCGAGTAGCGGGAGGGTCGTTCTATATATAGAAGCCAGTGAGTCATTTGACGTTGCTCCGAGTACACCAAGCACTGTCAACAGTGTCTCTCAACCACCTTAGGTGTTTGATCGTGCAGACGATTAGAGAAGACTACGGATCGAGAGGAGGCACCATGGAAACGAGGAAGATTCACCAGGTGGTGTCGCTCTGGTGTGGATTAAAGTTGACCTGACCTAGTAAATGCCAGGCTCTCTGCCCTTGATTCCGACGGTGTCAAACGAGTCGAACTCTCTTCCAGAGAGTTGGAAAAATGGCCGCGAGAGCCTGGTGAATTTATGGCGATGCAACGGAACGCGCCTAACCTAAAAGGGAGATGGCAATTTTTCAACGCCGACGGTTTCCCTCGTATCGCGACCTCCGCGATGAAAATATATCGGCCGGATGGTCCGAGACCGCGATGAAATACCAAAAAGTTGACGTGGTTATTAACACAGCACAGGCACATACATCAGCGTGAATAAAAAAGATTCGTCCTCCACGTGTTTCTCTCTCTCTCTCTCTTTCTCCTTCGAGAGCATCGATCTTCGAAAGAACGAAGATTAGGCGAAAAGGTTTTCATCCAAAAACGACAGAGTTTCGAGCGGGGGTTCAAGTCCGAAGGAACGAGCATAGAGTGACGCGTGATTGATCGTGGTGTGTCGCGCGACCAAAGAGAGAGAGAAAGAGAGAGGGGAGTGTACGGACGAGAGAAAGAAAGGAGTCGCTTACCATGGGGTCGTGGGGTAGGTGCATGGGGTAGGCTGGTTGGGCCAGGTGAGGGGGTGCGTATCCGCTGTACGGGGGCTGGACACCGCCGCCACCTCCCGTCCATGGGTCTCCAGGACCCGTTCCCGCGGCGTTCCCATCTGAAACACAAAGAAAATCATGGTTAGTTAAACGAAACTTGGCGGAATTGCTCTTCCACGCGAAATGAAATTTCACCAACGCTCCAACGTGGATTTGATTCGAGGTTGGAACGGTTAAGCGTAGTCGTTTGCATCCGTACACCGGTCCACGGTAAAGCAACAAATAGTAGCACGTGGCGTTCAGTGACCAGAGAGTGTCGCGCACGTGCTCGAATAATGCTCTTCAGCAAATCGGGTTGAAAGACACGTACACGAACTCGAATTCACCTCCTTTCCGGCGTTAACGATCCTCGGTTGAAAAACGGATAGGATAAAAAGTAGCTACTCGTTGGAAAATCGGGAAAGCGCGCGTTTCGCTATTAACGGGAAAAGTTGACTGGAATTGCGCCGGACGAAGAGGGGAGAATCTGTCGGTGAGCTCGAGACACCAGGTATAAGGAGCAATAGGCGGCACGGAGGGAGAGACGGAGGGTGGCCATTATTTCAGTTGAAAACAACAGCAATAAGCTTCGGGAACGTATTTCTTGATACTTTTGCTTGATATAATTCCGTGGTCGGGGAGAGGGTTTGCTCTACGAGGGAAGTGAAACTAAGCCAAACTACTCGTCCGTTCCCTATCCAACTACCGGCATTCGATGTCTGATAAAACTTTTTCGCCCGCCTCCTCCCCATTTATAAGGTATTCCGCTCGCTTACCGGGTGTCACGAGCCGAGAACGTATTCGAGAGGCCAGCCAACGAGTCCTCCTTACCCTCTGATCTTTAATAACAACTTTACCCCGGGGGGAAACTTTACCGATCCTATTGATTTACCGCCTCGGTAATCCATCCGGGAAACTTCGGATGCGCTCAAACTACCCCATTTTGCTCCTTTCCAGCTTCCTACCTTCAAAAATCTCCCACCCTCTCGTCAAAAGTACACCGTGAAATTATTCCCAAGATCTTCCCCGTAGTATCTCGTATTATCTAACAGAATCTATGTACAGGGTAAAAAACGGCGGAACCTCGAAATTATTCAATTCTGCGTTACATAAAGTCTGTAAAGCTTCGACGATGACCTTAGATTTGCATGGAAATTACGTCGGTAAATTTGTCCGTCTACGAGATCGAAAACGAAGACTCGCGGCGTTTGCGTGGCGCGGCGCGAAATAGCGAGGTTTCGCAACGCGATTAAATTATATCGGCATAAAATAGGAACACCGGCGAGCCACGATATAAAGTTTATTGGGGAAACGCACGTCGACGCGGCTTTTCCGCGGCGATTTTTCTCCTCCTCCTCCTCCCATACTCCCCTCCGACAACACCTCTCTACACCCCTCCCCTCTGTCGAGCATGCAGCCGCGAATTTTGAGCGCGCGCGCGGCCAACTTCGACGAGCTTCGCGAACAAATAACGAGAGATTGTTATTGTTTTTACGCGCGACAGGCAGAGCGGCGAATTTTACGAGCGAGCGTTAAACAGTTGAATATTACTGCGATCGTAAAGTCCCTTTTATCGTTCGTTCGAATCGTTACGCGATTTCCAGCAGATATAGATGCGCGTACGCAGGATCAGCCTGCGTGTGTTCTCATTCTGTGCTACAGAACCGATACGAACAACGCGTGTGTGTGTGTGTGTGTGTGGATCCACAGGCTGGCTCGATCGTTAGACAAGAATCGATCGATCGATCCAACTGTGGCTCGATGTTACTTTTAGTCTGTGTCCGGTAACGAGCGGCCTAGATTTTCGACTCACGATCGATACCAGTTTAAGAGAACACACGGTTAATGGGGATAGAGAACGACTTTTCCTTTTTCCTCGTCACACACTTTTTCTACACTCCAATCTGTATTTCCACTTGTGCTGCCGTTATTGCGCCTTTCCTGCACGCTTCTCTTTCTACGCTTCACTCGTCCACCACGTTCGACTTACCGATATAGTAAGGGTCTGCATAGAGGGCCGCCGCCTTGGGGGAGGTGTATCTCGGAGAGTCCTGCCCGAATTCATCCGAGCCATACTGCAACAGACAGAGCAAATCAATTAGGTTAAGTTAGAGTGCAAAACACACATGTAACAATACAGCCTGATCCAGGGTGTCTCGCGTACAACACAATGTGCGACGATAACAAAGAAATTTCATACGCAATTTGAACGGTACCGGAGGACGAATAATTTACAATTTTCAAAGTCTTGTTCGTATTTCTGTAGGGCAACCTTGAAATGACCTTTGACCCTCGAAATCCAAGCGAAATATCACGTTCACTTCAGCGAGGACGTAGTAGCACACGAAATTGCATACGAAATATGTTTCATATCCCCGCAAACTGAAAGATATACGTGGGTGGTCTGTTTCGGGTGAGGACACCCTATACGTCGGAAAAGATAAGAAGGCAGCGAAGAAAACACAAGGGGGTAAGGTGGGACTGTGATACGAGGAGGAGAAAAAGTCGGTCGAATTTCTTCCCCCTTACCATTCTGTAGCTGGCGTAGTCAGCAGGACAGACAAACATATCGCGCGAGAAGACGGGAGCCACTCGAGAGCAAGTCAGATCGCGTGGTGGGACAACATAACCGCGGCGTAGCGGGGAACCGGCGATCCACCGGCGGCGGCGACGGGGGCAGGGGCGAGCACGGGGGTGGAAAGTGGCGCAGAAGGAGAGATTCGCGGCAGCATACCCTCGTCCCAATTTCACCCGTGATATATGTTAAAATATTCCACACCGCTTCCCTTATCCTCCACACCGACGAGAGAGAGCCTTCCTCTCTCTTCGCCCCCGCCTCCGCTCCGCCGAAAACTTTTGTCCCCGTCTCTCCTCTCCGCCCCTCTCGCCCAACGTTACGCCACCACCACCTCCACCTGCTGCCAGAGAACGACGAAAAGTGCGACGGAACGATAGGGACAGGCAGACAAGTTTCGGTTAACGCGAGGACTATGGTCGTCGGTGCAGGAATTTAACGGCTCCTGAGGGGGAACCATGAAAGAATCCTGCCAAACTTCCACTTTGCACAAACTTTCCGCGAATTTCTCTCGGAAAAGAGATCACCCTTTGCACTCGGATGAAACGCACACACTACTCTGTTCCTCGATTGCATACGTGTAAATTCTTCCCTGTTCTCGGTTGTTGTTCTGCGGTGGTTAATTGTATCGCATATTCACGGGCGGGAAATTGTGCACCGGGTACGTTACGATTTGGATACCGAACACGCGAAGGGTGACACGAGACTGAGAGCAGCCTGGCTGAGCGTCACCGCGCCGATTGCACAAAGTAGTGGGGTGGTCTCCGGAGGGAACCAATAGCGGAACTCGTCCAAGCTAAGACGGCCGCCGTTCAGATGCGTCCTTTTGATAATTTCGATAACGCAGCTTTATCCGGCGTGTTCTAGAGCTCTCTCGACAGCGAGGAAATTTGCATAATTGCCCCCGGAACGTTCGACGCCGCCTCGCCAATAAGAGAATCGAATAAATCAAACCAAGGATCTCGATGATTTTTACGCGACGTCCGAAAATGACGTTATATGAAAGAGAAAAAGGTGGTGTGTAAAGTCTGGTCCAAAGAACAAAAGATGTTCGAGAGCGTTCAGAACGCATCGGTATCTCGCGGAGGGAGGGAACGGGGCATATAATTGTACGTGATAAAAGCGTCGAGTTTATCGTGGCAGCAGTCGATAACGGGCGCACAAATACGAACACCCATATTCCACGGGGGGAGGGGAGGGGGGAGGAGGCAGAGAGAGACAGAGAGAGAGAGAAAAAAAGAGCTGCTACTAATCGCGCGATAAACGCTCGCGTGGCCTCTGGACCTATTAATTTAAATGAATTGCTTTGACATCGGTGGCTTCGCGTTCCACGCGAGTATATACACACATATGTGTGTGTATGTTGCACGCCTAATTTTCCCCCTTCCTCTAACTGTTTCATCTTCGATTTCCCGGATACCTATTCTCTACGAAAACGGACGATAATAGGTAGAAACTGAACGCTAAGGCGGAGTCGAATCGTGGAAGTTAGAGGAGACACCATGTGGCTAATAATTCACGTTTTATATCTGAGCGTCGGCCAAGGGGTCGCAGAGAGGACACGCAATAATAAAAATGTCCGACAGACTGGCGAGTTGGATCAGAAATCTTAATATGTCCTGGTGGGTGTCCACGGTGGCGAGAGTCAGCGATTTCCAGCCAATATAAATGTCCTACATTGATTTACTTCCCTTGTTCCCCGGCTTGCGGCTTCGCCCGGAACGGAGGGAGAAGAAGGGAAAAACGAATGGAAACGTCTCTGTCAGGGAAATTAGCTCGGCGATGGTTTGAAATAGGACAGAAGGGCCAAAGGTATGTACGCGCGTGTTACGTGATGCCTTCGGAAAAATTCAGCACGTGATGCCCAGTCTCACGTTCTCCTGCCGGCTGTTTTGTCATCTTAGAAATTATCCCCCTCTGGTGGAGTCTCCTCGACTCGGTTATGTCGCGGGGAAATTCTTCGAAACGTGACGAGTCGCGGACAATCTTCGGGAAATTTTACGTTTCGATCGTTACAAAAAGTGTTTCGAGATAGAAGAGGTATCGCGAGTCTTTGGACGGACTACACGTGGGCGGAAATGAGCGTGAATGCGAAGAAGCGAAGGAGTCCCTGGTCCGAGTATAATGGATCCTCGATTACCCCACTCGTTAATCGTTACACCGAGACAATTTCCAGGTGTACTCTTACCCACGTGAGAATTCTTCAACCACCATCGCTACTATATGCATACATTTCACAAGTCATGTTCTACCTGCACGATTGGAGCAATAAGACAAACTCCTCTTACCGCTCGACTTTTCCGACGTGACCCCATAACTGTCAGCAGAAGCAACAAGTATTTGTCCTCTCTGCTTCTTTAATTACGACCGATAGATAATGCGGCCGATAACGTATCCGCTTATCGATTTAATTAAATTTTAATGAAAAAGACACCTGGTCAAGTTCCACAGATTTTGAAAACAACCGCACGCGAAGAATGAACCTTATCGACGGAACCAACACATTCGTCTTCTCTCTTTCTCTCGCTCCATCAGCTGCTCGCATAACAGATTAATGTTTGACGATTTGTAAAAAGGCTGGATGCAACGGTCTTTAGGTCTAATGACCGTCGTGTCACAGATGAATGTCGGATAATTTCTAACGAGCCTCCCGTGTGCACGCACCCCTATACGAAACTGTTTGCCTCTACGCAAATTACTCTCGTCACGCAGCCCCACTACCGACTATCCTCGGTAAAAAGAAAAGGGAAGAAGCATACACGTATATATATAAAGTTTCTGTACCACGAAACGAACGAAATCCTCCGTAGAAAAAAGCGGATAAAGATGTCCTCTTACGAGCTCTCTGTATCGACCGTTCTGTGGTCAAGGAATAAAAATTTTACGCGACACTACGGCACGTATGAGACAGAGAGGGAGAGAATGAAAGAATGTGGGATAGAACGTCATGGTAATTCCCGTATTTTCTTTTTCTGAATTTTTTTTTCT